ACACATACATACATACACATACACACATACACATATCATGCAGTCATAATATGTGTCAGATATATGCTATCTATATAGACTAAAGGGATGAAGCCAGACGGGATCCGGCGCCGACACTCGAGGTCGCAGCAGAGCATCAACGTCTGGCGCTTCATCACCAAAGACACGGTTGAGGAGCACATCTGCAAGCTTCACAAGAAGGCAGGAAGCTGGAGCTTTGCGAGCAGGAAGTCTAGCATTGAAGGTTTGGAACATCGGATTTTACGGCCCAGCGGCCTAGAAGCAAGTAGCGCTGACGGTTTGTGGCGGTCTCGAGATTCGCCGCCTTACTTGGGTGGGGCCCATCCTAGTGCCATCTTGAGGCAGCTACTTCGACCAGTGAGCAGGCATCAGTGGACGAGATCTCGAGTTGATCTTGAAGTCAACCCTTCCGCCATAGTATGACAAGCATTAGTGCTACGACTCCTACGGCTCCGACGATTGCTACGACGATTACTGCCCCTGATTTCTGGGCTGACTTCTCTTGAAGCGCGACACCCCCATCGCGAAACCTTAGTCAGCTCTACTTGGGAGTTTCCGAAACGAAGGGATTTTTCCAATGTTGCCCGCCACAAAAGGAGCGAGGGCCCCGAATTTTCGGAAGCATCCGGTCGAGCTCTCTGCGCAAGTGTTTGAAGTGAGCTGACTGCTTGGGCAATGCCAGAACGGAATGGGGCTTCGCTGGCAACAGGATCCAGATGTGGGGGTGGGGCATAAAGTTTCAACCTGAAACTGCTGAATTAGGGTTCGTGCAAGAGCGCTCCAAGTCTAAATCCCAAGTGCTCGACCCTAGACGCTAAGCTCGAAGCTGCAAGAAGCAGTGCGAAGTTTTCTGTCTTGAGCCTCAGGCATTACTAAGACGGCTTAGAGGGGGGTTTTGGGCCCAGGGCAGCGGGTTGAAGGTGTCAACCCCTCAGCCCGGAGTTATCCCTAAACCCCAATGCAAAGAACCCTACTGGGTTTCGGGCTGCGTGTCCGGGTGCCTTCGGAGTGTGCTCTTGAACTTTACGGGGTATGAGTTACACAACTCGGCCGTGAAGCAATACTTCATTGCCTTTCTAGACTCGAGTTCAAAGCAGGATGCTGGCAATCGGGTTTGAGAAATCCTTCTGCTGAGCTAGCCAGATGTGACCTGCCACGAATGCAACTTTGGGAGCCTTGCCTGCAGCTGTTTCAGCTACCCGTCCCAATTGAAGTGTCACAGTGTGGTGACCCCTTGGCCCACCAACCGACATCTGCTTGGCCCTCAATGAGTGCAGGCATTAGTCAAAGGCGCAGGGTCGAGAGCACGTGTTTCTGTATCGGTTCTTTATCGGAAACTTCGGGCGAGTTACAGCCTGCACCTAGAAGCCTAGATGCCCAATGCCGAGACTTCAGGTTCAAAGCAAAGGTACCAGGTGTGCGACTGGATCTTGATAAACGTTGTGTTTCTTGTAAGACGAGCCTCTTTTCGTTTCTGAGTTCTGAGTTGCGTTGGGCATTCTAGGGACATCAAACCATGTGCTGGAGCTCTGTATTAGATCGGTAGCCCTGCCGGCCTCGCAGGTTCGTGCGGCCAGAACCATGTTTGAGCAGGAAACAGAATCGACAGACTCAAAGCACAGGTATGTCCTGACCCTCCGTGTCAGGTCATCATGTCGGCTCCGTTGCTCTTTCTCGCATTGGCACTACCAGCGGCGGGGGAGCCCGGATGCTGCATAAAAAAGTCAGCAGAGTTGAAAAACCGCTCTGCGCACCACCTCCCACGCCATGGGATGCCCGATCCCAAGACATGTAATTAATCCCGCGCCTCCCCCAGCCTCTCAGCCCCCAAATCCTGCAGCCCAAACTATTTTTCAGTTAACCTGAAACTCCTTTGAACCCTACAACCTTCGTAAGAGGCCCGCGAAGTTGTGAACAATTCTTGTATATGGCCCACATGTGTCCGCGCAAGAGCCCGTACTGTTAATGCAGGGCCGCCGTCCCTCCAAGCCGAAAGCCAGAATCCCTGCATCTCCCCCCACAGGCAGCTCTGAATCTGGGACATGAGCAGTTTCTGGCGAAGGACCCGGATCTGGCAGTTAATGTAGGAAACCCTGGGCCTTTCTTAGGCTTCTTAATATGAGCCCTAAGATATTGGGGTTACAGGGCCAGGGTTTCTTAATCAGGTTCCTACATTAGGGTTTAAGCATCGGGGTTTGAGAGCCAGGGTTCAGACAAAGTGTTGCAAATTTTTATTAGTTTGTCCATTGCCAGCAGTGGCTTAAGAGGGTTCAGTAGGATGCAACAAGAGCTTAGCCGGAGGACAGCAGTTGCAGAGGCTTCTGGTGATTTGCGACCTTCTGTCCGAAGTTTCGGGCTTCCGAGCCGCAGAAGTCAGAGCCTTGAAGTTCGAAAAGCGGGGAGCCCACTTTGAGTAGGGTTTCGGGGCTCCAGGTTGCAGGGGCTAAGGCTCAGGAGTGTGGTAGGGCTTAGCCGGTTTAGCGCATGCGTTGTTTTTGGGTTCAAGTTTATTTCGGATGTAAAGGTTTGAGGGTTGGCTTGGGAGTCTCCGACGCCACCTTGGCAAAAGGGAAGCAGCTGCAACGCCTTCAAGTGGCGAGTTTCAGAACATACTTTCACAAAAAAAGCCTGATAAGGACCAACAGCACCGGCCGTCCGACAGACTCCCTCAAAGCTGGACGAGCTCGGAGAATCCTTAAACCCTAAACCAAAAGACCACCTGTACCCTAAACGGTTCGGGCTGCAGGACATGGCAACTCCGGACTACAAGGTGCGGAAATCGACTTGTATCCCAGGGCTCTTCTCAGAAATGGAGCCTCGGGTATCCCGGCGTATGCCCCGGAAAGAGTCACTAATGCGACGTACAACCTGCTACACCCCTGGAGCCTTTCATTGAGATGGATGAGGCTATCCCCAAACCCTTATCTCTAAACCAGACAACCTTAAAAACATTGGATTCATTTTTCTTAAGAAGGAGGTTGCAAACCTAAACCTAAACTGCCTAAATCCAAGAAGGGATTAGCCCAGATGCCTACTTTTTGGACCAGAGAGTGAAACCGGAGCCCAAAACCCTAAATCAAGAGCCCCTCCACTGCTCCGTCTCTGGGCCCCCAAGCCCAAAACTTGCGCAAGTCTACCGTCAGCTTTGTTTTTAAATCTCGGTTTGAGATTCCCGCAATACAAGGAACACCTCTGAATCGAAAGCCGAAGCCTTGAACCAAAAGCCGGGAACCCAATGCTACCAGCGGCACATCATCATGCAAGTCTTCATGCCTTGCTCTAATCATGTGATAGTGTGCCTCTGCTGCTTTTTCTTGTTCCGGCCACCCCCCCACCCCCCCCGCTCCTTTCAGCATCCCCCCCTCCCCTCCCTCCCCCCCCTCCCCCCCCTCGTCCTAACTTTCTTCACTCTCTCCCTCCCCTTGTGCGTTTGCGGTTGCAGCTGAATCCTGAATCCATGAAGGTGTAAGCATAGTATTTACATATATATATATGTATATGTAAGATAGAGAAACTTTCCGTGCAGGTAGTAGTCAGTAGTAGTAGTAGTAGTAGTAGTAGTAGTAGTCGTGGTAGTAGTAGTAGTAGTAGTAGTAGTAGTAGAAGTAGTAGTAGTAGTAGTAGTAGTAGTAGTAGTAGTAGTGGTAGTAGGCAGTCGTTAGTAGTTAGTAGTTAGTAGTTAGTATTTAGTAGTTAGTAGTAAGTAGTAAGTAGTAAGTAGTAAGGAGTAAGTAGGTAGCAGAAGTACCACCACCAGTAGTAAAACGAGTACTCTTTCAAGCTGCGGC